AAATTAAAGCCATGTGTATTTTGATTAGAAAATTCAAAAACTTAATGTTAATATCTCGGATAAAAAATATATCTGATTGCGTATATATTACATAAGAGACACAAAAAAAAAAAAAAAACAAAAATAATATTTAGCAATTATATATAAAATGAATTGTGCATAAATTGAAATTAGTTTTAAATAATAGTTCTCCTTTAATGTACATGTATGAAAATAAATCAAAATTTTTGTTAATATACGGTGTTGTAATACAGTTATTGTTAATGTGTTTTGATACTGTTTTTATTTTTAAATAATACCTATGTCAAAATGAATAAACTGTTTTTGCTGATAAATTTATAACACCACTATTTTAATTTATCTGCCTATTATTTGCGATCATCGTTCGTCGTTCCGTTGGATTTTTAGTGTTATATTTTATTATTTACGGACATATATAGTTTACGCAGTAGTGTTTACGTTGTGTATTGTTTATGCGAGTAGAAATATCGCAAACCAAGTGTTCAATATTTTGTTTGTCATAAGTACTGTATTTTATAATTGAAAAACTTTGATTATAGAAATCATAAACACTTCCAGAAATAATAAAAAAATTATGTTAGATTGTTTCTCATTTAATAAACTTAAAACGTGTAATTTGCATATTTGTTGTAATGATTCGAAATATTGTACATTTAAATTCCTTGAAATTTTAACGACTATTTTTGAATATAAGCACTTGACAATCACAAATATACATGTACATTAATCTGATGTATCTTTAACTAAAACAACAACAATTGTTTATAAAATAGAAGAACGATTAAAAGTATACAAAAGTATGCAACAACTATTATTGCATACACACACACACATATATATATATATGTATGTATGTATGTATGTATATGTTGTATTATATATTTTCAAATATTTTCCGAAGCAGTTAACAATTTACCAAAAGAAAATATAATGAAAATATCGATTAGAAATCAAATACGTGAAATAGATCCAACAGTTGCAAGTTATCTCAGAGAATTAAAAATTGAAGGTAAATATTTTAATATTATTTAAATTATTTTTATAGGTACCTATAATAAAAATACTATACATGTTAACTTTGTTAAAACAAAATGATGTAGTTTTATTTTATTTTTCAAATATATTTTGTTTAATTATAAGAAAGTGATTTTTATTAAGACGAACGATAAGTTTTATGACAATGGATTAGATAGTTCTGAAAGAAAAATCATATTTTCAACTGACGAATATTTAAGATTACTAGATTATGCAAAAACTTGGTACGTAAATTACATTGCTAGAGTTTTTGTTAAATATATAATATAAAAAACGAACTTTTGACTAATTTTCAATACCTAAGTTTTTAAATTTAATGGACACGTAAATAATATTTTAATTATTTACAAAAAACTTTTTTCAAATAATATTTCCTGGAGATTTTTGTTCTAAGTATTTTCTTTCTGGATACTATTTAAAGATATCATGTCTTGTATTTTAAAGATTAATTTTAATGAAATAAAATTGTCCTAATCAAATCTACCAATTTTTCAGCATTAGATAAATTATATCATGTACATAATCATAATACAATTAGTTAAACTGTGCATACTATTTTAAATTCTAAATCATTTTATTGAACTAAATTCACTGATCGTTACACGCTTATGACTAAAATGGGATCAAACAACAGATTATTGGATATAATAATCATAACAATAATAATAATAATAATAATAACATATTATTGGATTTAAACATTTCCGTACACTTTTATCTTTATATATACATTAAATAAATCTTAGCTGTGGTTTATAATGTATTATAATATTAACGTTAATATTAAATTGAAAAGTATCAATTATTCTTGTCAACTAAGTTAATTGTCTTCATTTATTTTTTATTCTCATATCAGTTGGCGATATTTGTTCATATTTTACATCTTTATATTAGTGGAAAAGATGCGAGTTTCAATTGTTATATAAAAAAAATAATTGAACCGATAGATTGAGCACATAAAACAATATGTTGCATAACATTATGAAAATCTTTATGATTGGATTGTCTGCACCTCTCTTAGGTTTTTTAATTTATTCGTTTCGGTTCATTTAAAATTGTGAGCAAAAAACAGTTTAATGTACTGGGGTTTAAATCATTGCGATTAAAAACAACTAACTCGTTGGTTAAAATGAACTTGATTCTACAACACAAATACTATTGACTCAGGGTGAATAACCTCCATCAAATCCTGCATGACAACTATTAGTCATTTGAAAATTTTGCATTCCATCCATATTAAAAAACTGCTATCAATTTAATCATTTGATAATTAATCAGGAATATTTTTATAAAACAAAATATATGTTGTAAATTTATTTTATATTCTTGAAAAAAAAATAAGCGACTTGTGAATTCCTTTGATAACCTTTGCGTAACCTTGAATGTTATATATATATATATATATATATATATATTTATATGTTTTAATTACATTTTTTAAAACCATATAATCGTATTAAGACGTAAGTTTTTATTGAAGGCTTTGTTTTGCAGGAAAATATTTTGTTATGATTTTACTATGACAAATATATGAATTTCAAAATATACAAAAAATATTACTTTGAAAAAATCTAACTAAATTTAAACTAAATCTTAAGATCAATAGTGGCTGGTGGGAAAAGTTGTATAAGGCGTGCACATTTATAAAATATTGTATTTTAATATTTTATAATAGTCAATCAAAGTATAAAATAGACAATAAATAAAAGTATGTAGTCATATAGAGTACAATATAAGAAAGGTCGAAAAACGACCGTCGACAACGAAAAATTAGTGCGTGGCAGTTTCCCACGTAATTATAACAGATAAAATTAGTTTCGTTTCATTATGACCTCGACCGTGCCTTGCGAGACCGTGTGTTTTGTTCGAGTGACGCGATTCTGTACAGTGCAGTGCGAATATGAAATATTAAGTGAAAAGGGGATTGAGAGTCCGTTTCCATCGGCTTACATGTGTGAATTCTCAGCAGTCACTGCAACAAAGACTAAACATCAATATCGGTTAAATTTGATGCCGATACTAAGAATTTCATTAACAAATCTTACTCCAGATATTGATGATATACGTAGTCACATTCAAGCTCATCCATCCCGTCAAGGTTCACGCACTAATCCTATTATTATATTTCCTGTTATTATAATCAGATACAATGTTACATTTTGAATGCTATGATACCTCTTTATTAAATAATTCAATTATATTTTGCTGTATTTAATATTTTAGTGTATGTTAATGTTATCGTTTATCATTTATACGTCCCGAATATACAAGCTATTAGCACATGCAGGGCCGGCGAAAGTTATAGGCGACCTGGGCGATTGCCCAGGACACCAGTACAAAAGGGGCGCTGAACTGAAAATTATTTTTATCTTATTTATCATTTAATACGAATTAACAATCTACAAACAGTAAAAATATAACAGTTGTACCTTCTACTTCAATACTGCATCGATACCGCTGGTTTTGATATAAAAATAATGCATCGAAACATACTGCATACTACCGCATTTGTGTGTGTAAATAAAATATACTAAATAGATGGTCGTTATAATTATTTTCATAAAATATTTCACCATTTATAAATAAATTCATATAACTATACGGTTGCATAAAAACCGTGGCGATAAAATCGTAACTTACGGCGAAAATACCGCAGTGTGGTGTAAATAAAAAAGACACAGTTGCCAGACACACACGCACAATTTATTGTTTTCCACGAGTTCTCACTACGTACGATCTACTGTGCAATACAAAATGTGTAAACTAACAAGTTTTGTATAGTTGTATATTTCGTACCAAATAAGAAACAAAAAAAATATTAAAAAAAAAAAAACTAACAAGTTACAGTCAACAGGTAATCAATATTCATATTTTTTGTTTAGTTAATTTGTACATAATATTTTGGTGTCTTATTAGTTATTGATAATGAATTCAGTTCTCTGGTTGTCTTAATAAATAAGTAGTTAGTGAAACACAGTTTCTCTATGTTATAGGCAGTGGTGGCGTGAAATAATATATTCCCCAAAAAAACTTGTAAGTTAATTTTTATTCAATCTCGAATTCACCCTTATTTTGTAATTTATAATATGTCTGTTAATTTATATATATATATATATATATTTATTACAGAAATTTAAATACAAATTGTAGGTAACTTATTTATTGCTAAAAAAATGAATTATAATGTTTAGATTTTGATATTTAAAAGCGTGTTTTTATTTTAAAATGAAATAATATTACATTTTAACTTGGTAATTTAATTTCCTACGATTTGTGTACATTAATAATTGTTTTCCAACTAAAGGCTTTTGTAATTATTAATAAAATATTTACATAAATACGAACGTATGGTATTAAAAGTTGCATACAATGTTTGTTGTATTATAGTTATTATTATTATATATATATTTATATTCTCTTGGTATAATAATGGTATTATGTAATGTTTAGATTATTGAACTCGACAAAGTTTTAGCTACTGGTGTTTAAAAATTAAATCAACGATCGACATAGAAGTATGATTTGAACGAGTTTTATTATTGATAGAATGACGGTCTGCATAATATAACAGAGCGTTGACACGACCCAAAATGCTCCAATTAATTTGTAATGCAAATTATATTCGTAGCTCAGTAACAAATTAACTATATTGGATTGTAATGATTTTGTAACAATAATTTACATGAAGTTAAAAGAAAAATAAATACTTTATACAAAAAATTATGAAAATAACATTTTTTTGTTATCACATATAAGCAAAATATTATAAATATCATATTGAGAAGCGAGAAACGTTTGGGTAATATATTAAAATTAACGAAGAATTTAGCATTATCGATTTTGAATGAAATGCATGTATAAACATAAGACACTAACTAACCTATTCGTATTTTAGGTATAATCAATTTAACCTTGCATATTCGTCTAATCCTAACGACCAAGGTTCCAATGTATAAAAAAAATTAGTATCCTGTATCAGTGGCCTGGTTCGAAAACGTAAAAATAGTGATTTGAGCTAATGAAAATCATTTATGACTTTGAAAGTAGGTATTAGAGTCTAGAGGATCGAATGTGAATACGAGAATATAATAATTTTTTTTTTTATATATTTTTAAGTTTAACAAGGTTTTGATAAAAAAAATTAAAAAATAGAATCGATCAGCATACGTCGAAAATATATTTTTTTCAATTTTGTCTCGCATATGATTGAATATAACACACGATCCCGTAAAGACGATACAGCGTAGGATAATTTGCATTTAATCACTAGTTATATGTTATATCGTACGTATTAACTGCATGTATCCAAGTAAATAATGTGATTAAGTGTATACGAAACTATAATCTATTATTTCGCTATAGCAATACGGAAAAAATTATTTATTAAACCCTTAAGTTAGTTTTAAGTCCATTAGTATTAATGAAAACAGTTATTATTTCTTTTATAAAAATAAAAAAATTAATAAATATTAATATTACCAACTCGAGATGATTTATTGTTCTTATATAATATTACCGATAAAACCATTCAACCAACTAAGTACGTATGGTAAACTATTCTTGATTAAACATAGCATACAATGGTGCGTATTATATTACACAGCTTGCTGATTTTTCGCATTATTATAATTGCACTTTAATTGCAAACTCGTTCATTTCGTTCGGCGCATTTTATGTCATCATTTTCAATTACATGTTCTCTATTATAAGTCGTGGCTTGTTTTCACTGTGTATGCATCTTGCGACAAGCTTTGCAATTCTTTAGTTTTATAATGAATTCATGTCTAATAACACAATGTAATAATATAGTGAAGGTTAGTTTATTTAAACTAGAACATGTTAAACATAAAGTTTTTTTACCTAGGCTTACTCGTTTTTCTTACTCATTCAAATTGAATCGTACTTATGCGGTTCAGGTCAGGCTAATATACATTCCTAAAAATAATTGATATATTAGAATAACCAAATTTCTTAATAAGCTAAATTAAACTTTTAATGATCTAATTGTCTCAAAAAAAAAAAAAAAAAAAAAACATCTAATATATGGAAAAATCAAACATTTCAATGGGCGTTGCTCATTACCGTACAAACGCGCAAAATATGCATGGGATATGAGGCAATAGGATATTCAGTATTTTAAAATCTGTGTGCCGTTTTGTCCATGCATATTTTGCGCGTTTGTGCTGTAACGGGCGACGCCCCTTAAAGCAATGTAAAAAAGGACATAAAGTTTTATTTTTTTGATTTTAAAAATCACAATAACATTGATATGTATCTTTTAGGGCGTCGTCTATTACTGCACAAACGCGCAAAATATGCATGGGATAAGACCGCATATAAAAAATTAAAATACTGGATATCCCATGGCCGCACACGTATATTTTGGATGATTATGTAAACAGGTTCACATTTTAAACCAATATAAGTGTCTACAATAACATTTATTTTTAAATTAATACATTTTTATTACTATTACTAATACTACTACAAATTATGACTAAAAATTATTTTTAACTATTTAAATTTTTATATTTCATAAATTTATGCGGTATCGTACCATTTGTTGTATGCGGGATTAGGCTATACCTTTTTATAAATCTGTGCGGTATCGTACTATTTTTGTGTGTGGTATTGAGTTATGCATTTTGTGCGGTAATGGAAAATGCCGATTTTTTACAATTACGTAATGTATATATTTATTTAATAAATAGGATCACTTTCCATAATACTGCGTTGTATTTTTTCTTAAATTTTACATGTTTCTCGGACACTATATTCGTCAATTTCGTATACTTTTTAGCAAGTGATGCTACAGTTTCACTATTTTTTAATCAATCCAAAATTTCACAAATATCAGTTGACAATTGAACAATTGGTGATTATTAACCATATTATTATTTTTATGTGGTTTATCTGCAATAAGTATATATGTACATGGTTGTATGTACTAGTAGTTGAATACTAGTATTCATAATCAATGGTTATACCTAGCGGTATAACAACAATATATATTTCTACATTAATAATTTATAAGTAATCTACATTGTTCGTATAACATTAATAAAATATTATCGTTTGAGTAACATTTAATCATGGAGTCAATCGCGGATACAAAATCCGCGGATAACGAGAGATTACTGTATAACATTAATGACAATTTATTTTGATTGAATTTCAAACATCTTAAAAAAATTATTTAATCGATATCCTTGTATTAGGGCATTAAACAGTTTTATTTACACATTCACATAATGAATCACTGTGTATTTGTTTTTTACTTATATTTGTTTTCAGATTTCTGTTGATAATATTTACAATTTTCTATTCTATGATTTAGCATGAAAATCCAAGGACGTAAATATTCAATATTCTGATTCATTTAAAAAATATTCAAAGATCGTGATTCAAATTTTACTCACAAGCACATCAAGTTAAGCACTTGATTTTAAAGTCATGATCATAATACCATAATAAACTCACCTTCACTCGGATTTTTTTTGACACGTGATGGCTTATCAATGATTTCAAATTAAAACCCTACACTACTATTCTGCATTGGTCGTCAATCCACTGAGCTATTACTTATAATAAACATATCCTTGTTAGATTCCAGATATATAGTATATACATTGGTTCAAAGTCGAATACTTATTTTATGAGTTATTCAGTAATTTAATTTTTGACTCCAAATATGGATGAAAGTACATTGATTTTACAATAAAATTGCATGTTTTATTTTTCAACATGACATTTTCTCAGAATAATAGTACAATTATATTGTAATAGATTGATAATTTGATACAAAACTAATAAATTACATTGAAAGTTTAGAACGGATTAGCATAACAGAGAATACGTGCGAAATAGTTTCAATGCATTATTACTGTGCTTAAGCATTTAAACGTCAAAGACTTGAAAGGGAGAAAATCTAGATTCAGAGAATTTCGCTTCAGAACGTGAAATTTAAAATGTATTTAGTCGCTTGAAAATTTAGTAGGAATATAATAATATATTTTGTAAAAATATCATGCATGATAAAATTCATAATCAACTGACTTTAAATTACTCATAAATAATATTTCAGAAAATTATTGTATACAATTCCGTCACCTCGCGTGAAACACTCGAACTTCTTGATTACATATTCAATATGTATATTATTTCGACCTCTGCTCGGAATCGTTTTCCGAATGCAATGATTCATCGTATTCTTTTCAAACATATACAAATTGCGCAACTATTAATACATCCACCATAATGACATACATAAAATTCAAACATATAATCCCTCTACCGATAAATTCGCCACTAGTGTGATGTGCAAAAATCAAATCGAAGAAGGACGAATAATATCGTGTTTGGATAATATTTAATATTATTCATCTGACTAGATTCTAATTATTAATTAATTAGTATTAATTTTACCATTAATGAATGGTAAACAAAAAAAAAACTTACACAAACTATAGTTTGGTAATAGTATGGTTTTGTAAATAGGAGTAATAATAAACTAAAGAAAAGATACCGAGAGAAATCGGAATAAATTGGTATCGGTACTAAGATATATTATGTACTTTGGAATTTTTTTTTTTTATTAAGAATAAAGGTTTCGACATCTATGGTCATTAGTCTATACATTGTTACTTAACTTAGAACTATACAGATATAATAGATAAAATTACATGAGGTACATAAGGTACATAAGATTTTTAAATTTTAAAAGTATAAATACATAAGTATTTATATTTGGAATATTGGGTTACAATAGATTTATACGATTACTATAGAAATATAACGTCAACGTATTCGGTGTTTTTAATTAATGATTAGGTTATTACAGTAAAATTCGACGTATACCATAAAATTTGATTAAAACACGAACAAATGTTTTTCATCGTTCAATGGTCAGCAGTAAGAAGGAAAACGTATAGGAAGGTATCCAAGGTCAATTTGTCGTCGGCGGCGTCGTCGGTAAAATAATATGAAATATTATTTGAGCAAGCATCCAGCATGTAAAAGGTTATGCGTTATCAGTTGTTTTTATAAAAAAACACTTTAAATTATTAGTACAATTGTATTTATCACATTTTTAATGTTTATTTTTTATGATTAATAAGCATAAAACAAATTGTTTACATATATTTTCAGATAAACGAATCATATATAAAGGCAAAAAATGAATACATAAATCAGTATAACAAAATCGACACCAGTAAGACTTACCATAAGCTGACTTACAGTGTTCTAATTTTGTTATAAAACCGACACCAGTAAGACTTACCCAAAGCTGACTTACAGTGTTCGAATATAGTTTTAATACAATGTTTTTTGTAAATGATAACGAATTATGCGACGCAGAAGTAATAGTATCCGACATGGAACAGAACAAGGAATCAACTGCAGTACTTGGTACAGATGGCTCAAAGAAAAGGAAGAACTCGACAAAAACCGTAGCTCAATCGAAGAAGAAAAAGGAGACTCCGGAGCAGATGACGAATCTATTAAAAGAGACGCCAGTGACGAAATTATTCAATTTCTGCGAGAAAAAGATGGGAAAGAATATAATAACGGAGGACGATCAATTGGTGGGACTATGCGAGATTATACAGAACAACAGCGACGGTACGTTCCATCCGGCAGTTCTTTTGATTATTTGGGCAGTACATTGCCCAATGTTTGTGGAGACTCTTTATCATCCGGTTCGTTGGACAGCGCACAATATACAGACATGGTGGACGGAATTAGCGATTATGCAGTCGGAGGAGATGACGCAGATGTTGACCTGTTTGAGGAGGAGTTTGAAGATGTCGTACAGCAATATGCACGTTCAATCTATAGTAAACCTGTGTCTGGAATACACAAGTACATCTCTTCCCTCATTGTGCCAGATGGACCTGATGGAGTTCATAGAGCAATCGAAGAAATTGAAAAACTTATTGAGCGATACCCACCTAAGCACTGGTTCATCTACTCAAGTCACGGAGATCATATCCACGTGTCCCACATCTGCCCCAATTCAAACGAATCTTGTAGATGCCAATGGTTACAGCGATCGACAGCTTGGGCAAAGTACGGACGACGTCGACTTCGCAGAATTACTAGGGCAAGTCAACTCCAACCAATCGACTACACAAACGTACTTAGATACTTATCTAAAGCCCCTAGATTCGTCCACGGAGTTGGTGGCTTCGCAGAAGATGAGCGATTACGTGATCGATATAAACATTTATCGGTATGTACTGAGAAATTACTTATTGAAACAACGTTTTATGCAACTAAACAAATATAATTATTATATTAATTACATTAGACCTTTATCGAAAAAAAAAATTACTAATGAACCATTGAAGTGGAATACAACTGCTCTGTTATATAACTCTCCAATGTTATCTGCCGTTCAAAATGTTTTGAACTTAGATTACAATGACGCTTATATTTTTATGCGTAATTTATGTTCATCGAGCATTGAATTTCTAGAAATTTTTAATATTTTCGATTTTACCTATAGTTTAACCAAAATAATTAAATAAATATTAGATACGAAGTACTAGAAAATAATTTTATTTTTATTTTTATTTTGTCGAACCTACAAATTATAATGTACAAGATCATAATTATTGAAATCATTTAAAATTGTTTTCAATATAAAATAATGTATTTAACGCATTTATTGGATTGCCTATTTGATATAAAACTACTAGTTAACATCATATGAAATTCTATAAGTATAATTTTTTTCCAGCAATACTAGGTGACGTATGAGAAAAACTTTTTAGTTAAAAAAAAAATTGGATTGGAACTAATATGCATATGAAAATAGATTGTTTGTAATAATTACACTCTATTTACATATTGTAATACTATTACGTAAGTATAATGTTTTTATACACATAAATTGAAGTTAAAATAATAATTATAATAGTAGTATCATATGTATTATCACACTTATTTCCTACGCATTATCATGTCTTTCGTATGTATAATTTTTGTTCAAGGTGAATGGTCAACTGGAAGAGAATTAGTGTTTACAGTATTTCCCTCCGGATATACTTATATTCGTATTATAATACCAATACGTGCTTATTAAGCAAAGCTTTGACTCCAAAACAACATTTCCTTTAAGTATTGTTTTGTTATAAAAAAAAACCACAGAAATATTATGTTATTTATCGATTATACAACTATAATCAAAATATATTTACCAATTTAAACTCAGTATTGCGTTCACACCTAACATTTGCACATAGGTGTAAATCATTACCACTTATTTGATATCTGTGGGTAAGCCATTAATATAATTATACTTAAGATCATATACATTTTCAAATCAAACATCATGCGTTAGTAAATATTATACACTTATTTCTATTAATATTTAAAAATTGAAAAAAATTAAACCAAACTTTTAGGTCAGTAACACTCCGTAGTCGAGTGAGATCAGGGACGGATGAATTATCTTAAAAACTTCAAACCGACGTCATTACTCACGAAAAAAAAATAACAATTCTGAGCAAAAGAGATGGCGTGAATCAGTTCACGATTCCATGAAGATGTTTGATATAGAATATAAAATTATATTATATAGTATATAATATATATATTATATAGAATATAAAATTATATTTCTTATTAAGATAAATTTAACTTTATGCTTTAACCAGGCGTCTAGTGATGGAAAAATTAATGTGAACAATGATTTATTATGTGTTATCAAACCATTTACGATTAAAATTTGGAAAAAATCGGAATTTCAAAGAATTAAAACGGACCACAAAAATCAAATACTCGTACTTCAATGAACTACGTGTGTGACGGCATGCGCTGTGCCGTCAGCTCGCTGCAGATCATCCTTGTACGCCTTTCACCATACGTCGGGCACACGCACATCAACCGACAAGATCGGTTTTATTTATTTTATTTCCACCGTCGTACCAACATATGTACCTATGCCTAGGTTCAACGTATGACAGTCCAAAACATAAGTGAAACATCTAATAATACACAAATCGTACGCTATGGACACGGCGACGCGCACGTTTGCCGAGCGGTGTTCGCGTGTTTCGCTGCGTTTCCATTGTTCATTGTCAGGGCTGTGAATTTGATGCACTCAAAAAGTTTTAACTGTACTTGCATTTATGTACTAAAAGCAGGATAAAAAACATATTTTAAAATATATACCGAAAAATCCCAATACGAAAAAATATGCACTAAAAATACAAAAAAAAAAAAAAAATGTTCTATAAAAATGTCTTTATTAAAAAAGGAAATATTGAAATTAATAATTAGAAATTATTTATTAAAATTAAACTTATTTATTTAATTGATTTATGATAAAATTAGATTTAACTATGCATGTATAAACAAACTATCTACATTCATATTGAAATAAAAAAATCATTTTAACAAAAACATTCGTCAATTACTGTTATTTGTCTGATTGACTAATAAAATTATAAATTTTTCTAAAATTTAAAAATGCGTAAAGCCGATGAATTCGACATAACACAAAATTAATTCATTTTTGAGGTGTTTGCAAATAATAATAATTTTGGTGCTTTTCTTTATACTGCAAGAACGAGATAAGTGAACATAGAAAAATTAGCCGCTAGATGGCAGTTGTGACGTTATTGCGTTGCCATCATATCATTGGAAATAAAATGTTCAAATGCGTTTTGTGTAAAATCATGTTTTTCGTGTTATGTCATTGTTGTAGCAAACAAGCGATATGTATTTACCATATCTTCTAAATATGCAAAAGTATACAAGATAAGATATCGTATTTAATTTATAAACAACAAAAAAATGTTTAGCCGGTACGGGGTACGGGCTTATGAGTACCATTTCCTTATACAAAAAAAACATGCAAATTCACAGCCCAAAACTAACTCATACAAAATAACTAACTCATAAAAAATATATTAAGAAATATAACTTTTTCTCAGT